ACCAGCAGCAGCAGCAGCAGCAGCAGCAGCAGCAGCAACAACAACAACAACAAGCCCAGCAGCAGCAGCAGCAGCAGCAGCAGCAGCAGCACCTCCAACAATATGGGGGACCTCCACCGACTCCCCAATACCAACCCCACGAGTCGCCCCAGCGAAGGCCAGCCGAAGACTCTCAGCAACTGCAACAACAGCGAAACTTCCTCAGCGTGCAAGAGCTGCATCGGAGAGGTCGCGCGTCGCCACTCCCACAGGCCGTCCAGGGTGTCCAGGGCCAGCTCAATGGTCCGGGCAGTGAGCCCAACATCAAGAACGAATTCGGGAAGATGTTCTCAGGCATTGGAAGCGGAGTGGGCGTCCCCAGCCCGGTCCCGGCAGGTCCCCAAGGCATAATGCCATTCTCAAACCCTGGAGCGCAGCTTCGTCGGGAGGAGTTGGAGGCCCTGCAAGACTCTCCGGTTGACAATAGTGGACCCAAGCTTGCGCGGTCCTCATCTCGAGGTGGGCGCCGGCGCAAGCTGAACGATATCCTGAAGGAGCAAGACGGTAAGGGCGACGATGAGAGTAGTACGGGGAGAGCCACCCCAAGTGGTAATGGGCGAGGAAAACGAGCCAAGACTTCCCATACCGGGCATCACCATCACCATCACCAGTAAGTGGCCCCTTTCTCAAAATTGTTGAAATGTGGCTAACGGAGCCTTTGATTGAGCCACCACCATCATCATCGCACAGACGCACTCGAGAGAGGGTCTCCGCCGTCACAGTCCAGTGTGACTCCTTTCAAGGTTGCCAGAGGTCAGGCAATTCCTTCGCCACCTACGCTCGATGCCAAAGCAACTACCACCCACCATCACCACGTCCCAAGATCAGGACAGCACCACCACCACCACCACGTCTCCGCCAAATCACAATCCATCATCCCCGTCCCGAAGACGACGATTCGGAACCAGGCTGTTCTCGACTCGGTTGCGCACCTCCCGCGCAAAAACCTAGGTCACGGGTACTACGCGTCTACCCTGACGCCGGGAACTGGCCCCGGAAGACGGGATCACTCTTCGACAAGAGGCTTCGCCAGCACCCCCCAAGCGATTCCCAGGTTCGAACGCCATCTAAACAGTATATACACCGTCAAAGTCCCGCGTATTCATCTCGACCACATTAGCCGAGAAGAGATTACACGGAGGAAAGCAGTCTGGGGCACGGATATCTATACGGATGATTCTGATATTATAGCAGCGTGTATTCATCAGGGCTGGTTCCGTGGTGCGTGGTCGGAGGATGTAGATACAAAGTATCTTGGCTTGGAGATTGATGACCCCAATCCGACAGGCGAGGTCCGAAAAATAATCGATATCGACAGGCCGCTCACTAAGCCGCCTGCGACGGGGCCGATGGAGGTCCCCAAGAACCGCGATTGTCACGTCACTATTGTCATCCTGCCGGCTCTCGAGAATTACGGAAGCATTACCCGGTTTGGCATCAAGAGCCGTGAATGGGGTTTTATGCGAGAGGGACACAGAAGTGTTCACGATGGATTGAGCTATATGATTCTCAGTATGAAATGGGTGAAGAGTACCGATGGGCAAGGGGCAAAGAGAGGATTTGGAAGGAACAAAATATTTGCGGAGCAACTCAATGCTCAAGAACTCGAGGACGAAGAGGCAGATGATGTATTCCTGCAGCGAGGCCTTGGGTCCACGAAGAGAAGTGGGGATTTTGAAGAGAGTTATTTGAGAGGTGGCGGCTTCAAAGGTATCGGGACCAAGAGTTGGTGGAAGGGGCCTATAGGGGAAGTGAAAGAGAAGTCTGTTGAGGCGGATGCGTCGCTTCCGGCTGGAGTTTCTGAGCAGCCTACCGAGGTTCCGGCACGGTCTCGAGCCGGCACTCGTGTTGCAGACCAGCAGACGACAATCGAGCGGATCGCGGAGCGGATGGTCATCAACGCTAATACGGCTAGCAGAGCTACCTCTGAAACCGCAGCCGAATCTGACGCTGCCGCCGCCACCGCCGCCACCACCGCCGCAGCTCTCGAACCGAACAGCAAAAGCGAGAAGGAGAGTACGGCTGCGGCTATACTGGCGTTTGGATTGGATGGCAAGGGAGGGAGTGGGAGAAGTATACCCATTTGATTTATATTTTAGAAGAGCTAAAAGAAAAGCGAATGTGTTCACCCGTATTCGGAGACAATGGTTTATTTGTTGATCAGATGATCGTTACTGGTCCGAATGTAGATCAGAGGACAGTCGTCTTCAGCACATTTTACGCTCATACTTCTTATGTAGATTACTAGTCCTGTAATGGAAAGATCCGTTGCAATTATTGCTTTATTGTAATTGTCTATGTAACCGGTTAAAGAAACAAAATGAAAGGACTCTAGTCGTTTCTGAAGCGAGCAAAAGAGCCGGAGTGATTGTAATCGTTCCATTATCTTTCCCGTTCAAATTTTCTCCGTGTCCACGACTCAGCGTTCTGAACAAGTTTGCGAACCGGGACTTTCAATTTCCAAGAAAGTCATGATGAATTCGAATACATGTATATTACGTGTTTAGCTTATCAGGACGTGAACAGGTGATGGGTCTGTATTTGTAGATTTTGCTGCGGATTTAGAAAGATGGAGATGGTATTTTATCGATTTTTTTTTTCTCCTTAGGGTTTATACGGAGGTACCGGTACAGCGGTTAATTTTTCCGACCCACTTTGGAAACTAGCTTAATCGAGCAATACCTTTACGGTCCTTCGCTTTGTATCGCTGAGCGCGGATACGCGTTCGGATCCTTTTTTTTTTTTTTTTTTTTTTGTATACTCTACTTCGTGCGATACGTTATTATCAATAGGCTGTGATTGAGGCTGATAGGAAATTTATAAAACGTATAAATAAAAATAACCCTTTTCTTTTGAGTATATATTGTATTATCGGGTTTAGCAGTAAGTACGAAGCGTGGGGGGGACTTAAAGGTATTGCTCGATTGAGCTAGTTTCTAAAGTGGGTCGGAAAACTTGACCGCTGTAGGTACTGTACGTACTTCCGTACTCTGTACAGTAAGATGGATGTTTGGCTTTTGATCGTTTTCTTCTTTTACTGTAAAGGTTATGTGACTTAAGCTTTGATATGCGCTGTCCTGAGTAATGATTAAGGCGGGAAAGATGTTGTGGTTTTGCGTGTATTGACTATGAGCGGGCATTAGTGCTAAGAATGAGAATTGTGATTTTTATAGCTTGTATTGGTTTGCATGACGAGTGATACTTGTGCTACTAATCTCCGATTGAAAAGTATTTTGGCGCGGCTGAACGAAAAACTGTTGGTGAACTTTTGGTCCCGATCAGGTACCTACCGCTGCTTTTAAAAGTTCGCTTACTTGCGCTTATTTGATTAGCTAGCTTGTTGAGAATAGCGGTAGCGCTGCTTTATCGAAAGTATATAATTGTTCGTACGTTCGCGTATTTTAAATCTTTTTGATTAGCTAGCTTAAAGCTGAATTTGCAAAGCGATTGATTAGATTTGAAGTGGATTAAAAACGAGGCACGAAGTTCGCGAGGGAAAATTGTAATTAAATCTGTTTTTTTACGAAGCACAATAACTATAAGTAAAGTGAAAATATAGATTAAATAAAAATAATTGAAAAAAACTTATCATATAAGTTTTTATTATGGTAATCGTCGGTTTCCTTAATTCTAATTCGAAAGAATTGACCGACTCGCAGCCAGGTCGGGATTTCTTACAAATTAAATTCATGGTAACCAACGATTAGCTCGTTGTGTTACTAAAGAATATTAATAAGAAAGCTTTTCATAGCCAACAGTTTGCCGCAAAAAATCGGTGTCAATACCGATAATAATCGAAAGACCGCGGAACAAAAATATTAAGTACGATCTAAGTAATTAATTTTCTAATATTTCATTCTTCATAATAGCACTTTTATATCTATTGCAAGCAATCGTTTCTTTAACATTTTCTCTTTTCCCTTTTTCCTTTTGATATTAACAATAAATCTTAATCGTCGGCTCGCTTAAGTGGGCCTCCTTTCATCCTTTCAGTCTTAAAAGGATGAAAGGAGGCCTACCTAAGCGAGCCGACGATTAGTGGAGAATGATAGCAATGTGACGAACGTTACTAATATATTATAACGAAGATAACTTAGCGCGGATATCCTCGAATGAATGATTTTCAAAGACGCTTCTCGCTTAGCGGATGATAGGTATATAAACAGTAAGATCTGGCTCGAGTTAAGCTCAAATCAAGTAGCACACGGTATCACGCCAAGGGACGACCTGCAGAGGGCTGGGTTGTCGACGAACAGAATCATCAATCTTCAGCCTATATATGCGTTGCGCGTTCGAATCGTGATTGGGAAGATGGAGAAGAGAGATCGAGTGGTAGATATCATTGGAAACACGCCAATCAAGCCTGAGATTATCTGGGTGGAAGAGGCCCTGGCAGCTCTGCAAGCTGATGGGAAAACTTTGGGTACGTGGACAAGAAAAAGGTGAAGCACTGGGTTGATGGCAAGGGCAATCATGATATGTCGAAAGCTCCAACGTCGAAAGCTCTAATATGGGGCCCGTTGGAAGGACGAGAGATGATCGTATATATCAATATCAACCATTGTCGTGGCTTTAGGCAGAAGAAGCCTGAGCTAGGAGCACGGATTACTAGCGGGGAGGTCTAGGAGTATACCTATCCGTATTACCTCGCATTGCATCTCTCCTTGCGTTCTCCTCCAGCTATAGAACTGCCGTGTATATCAACGATCCACCTTCTCTTTCTCGCAAGCCTAAATTAGATTTCTTCTTTTTCAACCCTTTTCTAGCGTAGTGTTCTTTCATCTTTTCAACTTACGCGCCGGTTTTTTTCTTTTTCAATCCTCTTCAAAGTCTTCCGCTAGTCTAATGCATGGCGCTTTTCATCTTCAGTACGATACTCTTTTAGTCTTGTCGTCGTCCACTAGCCGCCCGCCCACCTCCATGTACAAGACCATGACCAGCTCAAATTACAATATTCTAAGAACGGCATCTATATTCTACGACTCTCCCAAGTATGGTCGCTCCACATCCTCTAGCGGCGCCGAATCTCAGCATCAATGACACCCCTCTCCGGCGATTCTTACTTCTCGCAACGCCTCGACTCTGCCTGCGTATTCTCCCCGCCGTGGACGGGTCCTATGCTTTCCAAGAAGCTATGCGTTAAAGTCGGGATCTTGAATTAGCCCGCGAAGGCAGAAACGATGGGATTCATCGCGGCACATACCTCCATCCCGGTCCTCAAGGTCTATTGTGCTTTTGAACGTAATCGATGCCAATTTTCTCTGATGGAGAGAATACAAGGAGACATCTTGACAAACGGATGGCATAAGCGCAGCGAAGCTTCCAAGCAGAAGATACTGGCACAGTTGAAGGGCATGGTGGACGAAATGCGGCCCATTCCTCGTCCGGAGGGCCAAGGTGTATCAAACGTTGCAGTAAGACCACTGTTCAATGGTCGACTTCCTGGGGGATCATTTCATGGCCCATTTGACACGATACGAGACTTCCATAAGCATCTCAGAGAGAGATACGGAGGTGAAATAGAGAACGCACTTGACGCCAACAAGTTATTGGAAATCCACAATCAATATGCCGGGCCGCTTGTGTTTACGCATGGAGACTTGAGCACAATGAATATCATGACTCGCGGAGACGATATTGTGAAGAGACTGTTGGCAGGAAGCAAATTTAATATACTGTTTATATGATATCGAGAATTAGAGCTACGACTTTCGGCTCGCAGTAGAGCGGCGACACCTTGTAAAATTACTCGAGCCGTCTCCAGATCTTCGGAGGTTCTCGCATGCGGAAAGATCTTTTCACAGATTATATACGCGAGAACAATTTACGATTCCATATGACCCGGTAAAAACAGATCCCGCATCCTGGATATATCTGATCAAAATAGTACACCAGCATCAATCATGACCCCAGGCAAACGCATCAAATGTTGGGAACATGCTAGTTCATTTCTACCCATCATGCCCGACGCCCTAAATCTACTCAAACACCTAGTCTGGCATCTCAAATCTAGAATCTCAAATCCCATCCAATTTTCGGCCCCAAATTCGGCAACTCATCAGCTACACTCTGGACATCCTTATCACCCCTCCCACTCAAGCAAATGACGATATCCTGACCCTTCTCCATCGTCTTCGCGAGCTCGACAGCAGCATAGATCGCATGGGCCGTCTCCAGCGCCGGAATGATACCCTCCAGCTGAGAAATCAGTCTGAAGCCGATAAAGGCCTCGGAGTCAGTGGCGGCAATGAATTTCGCACGCTCGTTGTCTTTCCAGGATGCGAGTTCCGGGCCAACACCTGGGTAGTCGAGGCCGGCGGAGACGGAGTGCGTGTCGGAGATTTGCCCATTCTTGTCTTGGAGGACGTAGGTGCGAACGCCGTGGAGGACACCTTTGGTTCCACCAGAGAGAGTGGCGCTGTGCCGGTCGGTATCCAAACCATCGCCCCCAGCCTCTACACCGAGAAGCTTGACTGATGGGTCTTTGGAGAAGGGGTAGAACATGCCGACGGCGTTGGAGCCGCCACCTACACAGGCGATGACCACGTCTGGGAGTTTACCGCGCTTTTCTAGCATTTGAGCCCTTGTCTCGTTTCCGATGACGGACTGGAAGGTGCGGACGATGGTTGGGAAGGGGTGAGGTCCGATGGCCGAGCCCAGGATGTAGTGAGTGGTGTCGAGCTTGACGACCCAGGCGCGCATGGCTTCGTTGACGGCGTCGCGGAGGGTCTTAGATCCAGCCTCGACAGCAACGACCGTGGCACCAAGGAGCTTGATACGGAAGACGTTCAAGGCTTGACGTCTCACATCTTCCTGTCGAGGTTGTTAGCACGTGACTGTTATTGCAGGCGAGAGAGTAGTGGACTTACAGCTCCCATGTAAATGGTGCACTTCATGCCGAACTTGGCACAGACGGTGGCGGTTGCTACACCGTGTTGGCCAGCTCCCGTCTCGGCAATGATCTCGGTCTTCCCTAATCTTCTGGCGAGCAGAATCTGGCCCAAAGCATTGTTGATCTTGTGACTTCCGGTGTGGTTCAGATCCTCTCGCTTCAACCAGATGTTGGCACCACCGGCATGCTCGGTCAGTCTCTCTGCCATATGCAGTTGGCCCGGACGTCCCATCCATGGGTAGTAGGTTCTGTACTCTTCCCAGAATGCTGGATCGTTCTTCATCTTGTTGAAGCCCTCCTCGAGCTCAGACAGGCAGTCCATCAAAGACTCTGGGACGTACTGACCGCCAAACTCGCCGAATCGTGCTGGGACCGATGCGGGATCGACCGGGCCATCGGTGTTCAGCGCCTCGATTTGATCTACCAGATTTGGACCCGATGCTTCCTTGATGACCTTGTCGACATGTACGTTCTCTCCACTTGGCTCTTGTGCCACGCTCATCGTCTCGACGATCCCAACCTCGCGGGTGAGGCCTCCCGTCGGGTCATTCCTCCGTCCACAAACCTTTGCGCAGTACTCCTCGACATTCTTGGGCCCCTCTCCCGGCTTGGACTCGGACAGCACGATGATGATCTGACTTCCAATCACCACACCATCGGCGATTTGGGCGACACTCAAGAAGTGATCTCTGGTACTGACACCAAATCCGACGGCCGCGGGGGCATTGCCCGAGTATTGCTTCACCCGCTTCAGCAAGTCCGGCAGGCCAGTGTTCATGGTCCCTGTCGCACCCGTGACACCCATCCGCGAGACGACGTATATGAAGGAGTCGGCCAGCTTGCAGAGAAGCTTCATCCGGGATTCGGAGGTCGAGGGGGCAATCAGGGGGACGTAGGACAATCTAGACGCGAGGTCGGTCAGCAGGTAATCGGTCGAGCGCCCATTCACGACTGACTCACCCCCCTTTGGTACAGAACTCGCGGAAGGAGACGGCCTCCTCGGGCGGCAGATCGACGACGATGAAGCCATTCACCCCCGCCTCTCTGCAGTCCTTCAGTAACCGCTCCTCTCCATAGCTCAGCATGGGGTTGTAGTATCCCATAAAGAGGACGGGCACCTGCAAGCCCCTCTGGCGGGCATCGCGGACCATCTGCAGGACTGAGGTGACCGAGACTCCATTCTTGAGGGCTTGCTAGGGAAGGAAGCTGTCAGCATGTTGTTGTTTTTACTGACGATGTTGTCTCCTGTCTGCCCGTTCGCGGATTGGAGTGGTGGCCCGTACCGTGTTGGCCTTTTGGATCGTGACACCGTCGGCAATTGGATCCGTGAAGGGAATTCCGAGTTCGATTACATCTGCGAGGTGGATGGACATTGGATTAGTCGAAGTTGTAGGTGAGGTAGTCGATTGGGATCATCCGTATCCTTCCTACCAGATCCCCCGGCCTCCAGTGCCAACATGATATCCACCGTCTCGTTGGCGGTTGGGTAGCCCGCCGTCACATACGTTACGAAGGCGGCCTGTGGTAGAAATTTGTTAGCTGTGAGTGGGGAGTGGTGGAGGGGCAATTGAGGATATCAAAGATGGGAAAATAGAATACGTACTCGGCCCTCCTTCTTGCACTGGGCGAATCTGCTCTTGAGAGCTTCCATAATGACCGTGGCGTTGTAGTTGTAGTTGTTGTGGTTGTGGTGGTGGTGGTGGTGGTGGTTGATGTATCGGATGGAAAGAAGATGACCATTCGGTCGGACGGGAATAATCTGCAGGAGAAATCTGTGAGTCAATCTGATTGTGCTGCCCCGCGGCTGAATCCGGTCACCGCCTCGGGCAGCTTGATGATGATGATTAGGTAATGAAGAAGGATCTTGATCTTGAATAACCATCGACCACATTTGTCAGCAACCGGGAGCTCGACAATCCAATTCACAACAATCCAAAACCACCTCCTCGCGCGATCTTGACCACCAAAACTCCCTTCCAACTCCCCATCCAATCCAGCGCCAACACACAAACATGTCACGTCTCCTCCCATCTAAATTCCTCTCCGCCCTCTCCGCCCTCCCCGCCCGCCGCTCCTTCACCTCCGCCCACTCCACCCGCCTTCCCGCCTTCGCTACGGGTCCGTCCCCACCGCGTCTCCCGCCCCAGGAACAGGAAGAATTCGAGCGTCTTCAGAAGTCCTCCACCGGCGCCTTCAGCACTCCGCGAACGCTCAACCCGGATGCAAGCCCAAACCCAACGGCGGACCCCTCCTCCTCCTCCTCGCCACGCACCACCCGCCCGCAGATCAATCAATCGCCCGCATCCGAGCCGGATGATATCGAAGTGGCAGCCATCAATGCGCGGGTGGCGGCGACGGGCAAGGGGGAAGAGCTGCACCCGGATATCCGGAGGGGCGCGAAGCCCGAGTTTGTCGGCGAGCGGAACCCCAAGACGGGCGAGGTGGGCGGCCCGAAGAACGAGCCGCTGCGTTGGGGGAGCGATGGCGCGCGAGGCGATTGGAGTTATAACGGCCGAGTGACGGACTTTTGAGCTTGTCTGGTCCAGCTCGGTGTACCGGTAGTCCTCGCGGTTGGTGGTTGATAGAGCTGTACAACACGATACCAAATGTAAAAAAATCATGACATCAATTAACCTACAATTGAAACATCGGCTGGATAAGTACTTGACGATGCTACCCCTCCTATCGCATCTCCTGCAGTTTCCATCTGCCCTCCGCACCCAGATGCGCCTCCACGCCTTCATTTAGCACTCACTGCCTGTCGTCTCCGACCGCGCTTTTCCAAGTCCCACCGCTTCACGTACGCCGGAAGTTGGGCAGACAGGGAACCGGGGAAGCCCCTTGCTGCAAGCCGTAGACGAGTGGTGACGCCTATTGCGGCAGATGCGGAGGGTGTTATTCTTCTGTAGGCTTTCGGCACGGCGGCAACTCAAGGGCCTGGTCTGTCTTCAGTGTCGGCGCCAGCCGTAGCGTGGAATGAAGTGACCTGCTTTTCCACGAAACCGGCTTTCCATGTAGGGCATTCGGGACGATTGCCATAGGTAGTGTCAAAGCGCGGCTCTTCATCTTGGAGGAGAACTGTGTTGTTTGGATCGAGCGATTAAGCGAGCAGCGACCCGAATCCGAGACTGGGAGTCCGAATACGAGACTGCCTAATGTCGCAAGAATGAGGATACTGTACCAGCTTCGTTCTACCGTTGAAGAGACGGTCGTTCTATATCTATCAATGACCCTTGATCCAAGTATAGATACTGGGGAATATAAAGCGGCTTTGGTACCAAAGTGGCTGGCTGGCTTGATGCCAATATCAATCAGTCCGGTCTTTCCATAGGTATCTTATCGATATGCACGCATAAAAGCCTTCTAACCTTCTCTCTAAAATCAATTCATCTACCTCCGGAATATCTTCCAGCAAGCGCTTTAGCTTGCAACTTGCCCACCGTTTCCTTCGCCCGCCTCATCAGCAACCCCGTTGGATTTCTGCGTAGAGCCCGCATGTGATACAAACGGCTCCCATGAAGCTCCTCACCAGCGTATTATAATGGCGGGAGCAGACTATGAGCGTCGGAAATCTGAGCGTCCGAAACGAGCTGTATGGGTGGGCACCGATGGTGGACTTGTGGCGAAGATTTCTCAACGTAGGCTGCGATGCTTAGAACGTGGAAGAAAACTGACGGAACTCATATCTGTGGATATTACATTATATAGATCATTTTATTTTATAACCATGGATAGAGTTGGAGCCGACGGTGTTTGTTTACAAAGATCCGGGGACCCTTTCGGAGTATACGATAGAAACAAATATAGTATTTGCATTGGCTAGGGTAGAGCGGAGCATGGAAAAGCGCAAAAGCGCAACGGACAAACGAATGTTGAATAACCATGGCATATCATAAAATTATTTGTTTGAAAAAGAACAAAACCCTGGCTGTGTTTTCTGGATTGTCTAGGTTAATCTCCGGAGATCTTAGAATGTGCTTATCTCTGGAACATCAAGTACCTAGTACCACGGTACAGGCCTAAACATAACCCTCGAGGGTGCCTCAAAAGTTTAGTTTCCACTTTAAACCCCCTGATTACCCTACCCTTGAGGGGTAATTCTTACGCCTGCGACGTCGTACTTCAGAAAATACACACCAGATTTCCAAGTCTTTCAAATAAGGATGTGTTTTTCAAATTGCCATGTAAGATTTTCCCGATAGATGAAGAGCTGTTGATGGTTTCACTAAGTACTTGAATGTGATAATATACGCCTTTAATCTCGAGTATATATGAGCCAGTGGTATTTCCTGTGATGCTTGATACACGTATAATCCTCTATAATAACTGCGGTCTAATCCCAAATTGAGCAAGGTATCAAGCACACCACCCTCCGACGGGAAATACCATTTAACAAGACCTAACCAACCCTTCTCGACATGAAGTGCATCCTGCGGCTCACATCACTTCGGCCATTTTCCTGGGCTTGAAGATCAAGTAGCATTCATCGTAACGAGAGCGGAAACCGTTAGCCTCAAACGGCTCCATGGAAGCTGGCGTAGTTTCTGGGGCGAGCAGAACCTCGAATTCACGAACGATGGCAGCAATGAGGAGTCGCATCTGGCAGTATGCCATGTTGCCCCCGGGGCAACGTCGCGAGCCCACTCCGAATGGAGCCGACATCTTGCGACGCTCGTCAAGTCGAGACTCGTCAAGCCAGAGCTTGGGATCGAAGGAATCATATTCGGGGAACAGATCAGGGCGTTGGCGACTCAGGGACAGAGACTGTGTGGTAACGACTGTCCCCTCAGGAATGTAGTATCCGAGAATGTTCAACCCCCCTTTAGGTACCAGACGACTGCCGGTGAAAGCGACTGGAGGACGGAAGCGGAGACCCTCCCTGATGCAAGCATCCAATAATTTGAGCGACTCAATATCTTTGTAGCCATCCATGCCATTGATCTCACGGTAGAGTTCTTCCAGTAGTGGCTGGTTCTTCGCAAGTTCGTAGAAGATGAATGCGAGTGCAGATGATGTTGTCTCGGTTGCAGCAAGGACCTGGCCAGCCATCTCAGCACTGATTTCTCCGTGGCTCCAATCCACCCCTCCCGTCTTCTCGTTCTGTCGAGTGAAGAGATCATAGACGGTTGGTGCATCGTCGCGGTCCATGGGATCGGCTTTCGCGGCCTGCAGGCAGAGATCCTCCCCGAGATTGAAAAGCAGATCGCTGGATCGGACGCGGAATCGAGCATTCTCGAACGGTCCAAGTCTCAGCCAGCTGAAAATCCATTCAGGCAAGCATAGGCGCCACACAACAAGAAAGTTGTATTCGCCGACGGTCTTGGGGAAGCTGGAGGGGTCTAGCTTGACGTGTGAGCCACCCATAACAACCTGCCCATGCGAGTCAGCAAGGGAATTATAGTGAAAATGCAAAGTTGAGTAACTTGATTCGTCAGGCAGTTTTAATTATGAAAGTAACAGAATCTGACCTGAGAGTTGAGAAGAGTGTTAATGCGAAGGTGGTGAACAATATCCTCAGATTTCTGGCCGTTGGAGGCACCCAAGTCCTTCACCATCTCGGCAATGTTGCTCTCAAAGAGCGGCTGCCACTATTTCAATAGTCAGTGACATTGGGACCAATAGAATGTACGAGAATCCTTTCGGCGCGCCTGTTGGCTTCAAGTCCGGTCGGAGAAACAAATTTTAGGCATCATGACTTACATATCGAAGGTTCCTAGTAGTAGTGGCAGTCTGGCAAGGCACCAGGAGTCAGCAAGACCATTTTGCAGAGCCGTTGGGAACGCTGGAAGGACAGAAACATACCATAACGGGATTGCGACGCTGACGAGCTTTTTCATGCTCCGGATATGTCACAGTCCAGTCGTGACCCCCAACCCTCAATGCGCGGATGGCTGTCGGTGCGGTATCGAGGTCTCTCCGAGTAAACACTTGAGCCAAGGCTTCGGAGTCGTTCAGTAAAACCATATTGGGACTGATACGAACAATCGGGCCATATCTTGATAGAAGATCGTCAGCGGTGAATGAAAGCTTTCCATGCCATCGTTGCCAGCGCAGCCAGAGCGAGCTTGATGACGGGAACCAAGGGCCAGGGATCGACTTCAAAGTATGGAACTTGGTGAAGTACACCATTTTGGCAAGCTCGGTAATGATCCAGACCCCGAACAGAATACATGCTCCAGTAGCAAAAGACGCCATCGTGAACGTGGAATCGAACTCCAATGCGAAATTGGCTTAGAAATATGATCAGGCAGTTAAAAGAAGTGAATACGAGTATGGCTTTTTCATTAGAAAGATGTCAAGGAGATATGTTCTACTTATACCCGCCCTGGGACGAACTTGGAGCCTCTAGTACTGTTTAAAATTCAAAACCTGTCTCGATCCATTCCACCAGGCCCTTGCCTGTACCAAACTCTACGTAGTATGATATCCCGAAGAAAAACCTCGGGCTTCTGATACTTTTGCACACTTCGAGTCCTGTGCCCTGTCTCAAAAAGTTTCATTGAGCCCTTGAATATCACTAGAGAGATCCCTCCTCTCCCGTGGAGCATGTCTTGGCAGTCAGCTAGACCGAGGTATAAACACGAAGTCCCTGGAGCGTCGCGGTGACACACTTCAGCTTTACGGATAGAGAAGTTCTTTCCGTAGCAGAAATACGGTCGGTATCTACCGTGAAACAATTCAGCTTTACGGATAGAGCAGTTTTTTTCCGTAGCCGAAATACGGCCGGTATCTACTCTGTCCAATGTAGGCCTAGTCCAATGCTGTATACGTATCGCAAAAATGCAACTGTTCCTCATACAGCCCTCCCTATGAATCAATTTCGGACCCGGTTTAGCTTTAAAAATCGTAGAGCAGTGGTTTCTGAATGGCTCAAAGCTCTATCAACTCTATTGTATACTCCGTGGACTAGAATTGAAGCTGCTTATATCTCGGCTAAAGGCTGGCATACTATGTATTAGGACCCGTGCGTATTTAAATATTCAGGTCAAAAATTGGGTAGGATAATGAAGATCCAAGGAATCGAATGGTATTGTTTTTGTCTGATTTGAATTTGTATTTATCACGCAACTGAGAACTGATGGCTGAATGTCTACGGAGGTACAGCGGGGAAGTAATTCCCCCTGTTTTGACCCATTACGCAAACTAGCTTAATCGAGCAGTACCTTTACGATATATCTCTTCGTATCGCTAGGAAAAGGTCGGCGAATTTGAATTTCAAGCGCTTTTTAAGAGTATGCCAAAGCGTTGTCGGGCTGTAATTGAGGCTGATGGGAAACTCACAAAATATAAAATAATCTGTGTCTTTTTTTCTATCGAATATATATTATATTATCGCGTTCAGCAAGGCTGAATTATTATAGGTTGATTGGTTTACGCCCTGGGAAGATCCTTTGTAAGATTCTGATTTCGATATGTATTCATATTAGAGGGCTATCGGGAGGCTACGATTCTTTAGCTGTACGAAGTGCCTTTTACGAACCTTCCGCTCTCTTTTGTGGCAAAGAGTTTAAAGAGTAGATGTTGAATCATCGATATATGTCGTTTCATCGAAAAGATTTACTTTTACCGGCGATTCCGAGCCTCCATTCTCTTTCACTTTACGATAAAAAGAACGATGTTTATAAAGTCTAAGCTTTGCGTCATATACCCGTCTGACGTCAATCAATACAATAATAATGATAAGAAATACTAAAGGACTATGAGTACGTAAGGAGAAGCCGTAGGGGTCTCAAGTTACGTATTAGTATGGAGCTACCGGTACCCCCTCGTATGAAGGGACTGACTCGGCAATTTAGTCGATGGAAAAGCCGAGCATAGAAGGGCGGGCACATACCTCTTCGAGGAACTTCCGTTCTCATCTCCTCTTACAAGTTTCAATATCTTTTCTCTTCGTAGATCGTTTCAATCTTCATCAAGACTTCGTATTGGTACCGTGATAATGGAGTAGTTCTTATCGTCGCCGAACTATGCTTGGTATCTATCCTGTCCAATGCCGTATATGCATCGCAAAAAAGCAACTGTTCTTGATAAAAAGAAGCTGTAAGGGTCCTAAGTGAATACAGTTCCCTTTACGAACTAAGGGTGGACCTAGTTTGGCCTTGTAGATCGCATAGCAGTAGTATCTGAATAGCTTAAAGCCTTATCAACTTTATTGCACAGACTAAACACTTGCTTAACGAAACTTATCAAGGCTGAATCGTTCTGAGTTTATTGATTCAAGCCAGTAAACTATTTGAGGCTGAGAAGTTGATAAGTTTAAGCTTGGATAAAAGCCTTTGTAAAAGTATATTTTTGGTATATACTCGTAGGGATGGAGGGGGCGATATTATGAAGGGATTGACCTGGCATTATAGTCAAGGTAATGAAATATTCTGTCATCGATTCTGCTTATCGCCTGGGCCACGTCTCCCTCGATATCCCTTATAAAGCCTTGTTTATTAAAGGTGTCCTTTTCTTAATGTTATCCGATGCTACATATACGTAGTACATTTAGCCGAAAGCTGAGTTTTCTTTTATCTGGTTTCAGTATTATAAATGCTATCAAAAAGATAACGCTATCCTTTTGCCACTTAAGAAAAAAATCCGGATATTTAAATATTATATTTATAATCTACAAGTGATATTACTATCAAATTCGGATGGAATCATAAACTCAGCGTCCAAGTTCAGCGTTGTATTAGGCTCTGTATCGATCACGTACCTCCTTGCTCTCATTACAGCCGCAGCGAAGCCTTAAGATAAGCGGCGAAATAGGCCTGAGCAGCAGCCCAATTGCTCAAAAATGGTGGAAGGGCAATCTGCGGATTGTTTCTAATGCCTCGAAAATAATCAAACTGTATCCCGCATGGCCAAAGTGTTACGGTTAATAAGAATAGTATTGTGATTGCTATTAAACGTACGCTACGTAGAAAGAAAGACGAAAAAAGAATAACTACCGGTATAATACAGGCCCGAAGTATATGCATCTGCGGGAGGAGGATATCATGTGATCTAGTTGACTAATATCTATCCAGCCAACCAATTAGAACCCCTGGAACCTTCTATGCCATGAGGCTTGCTAAGATCGTAATACTACCCTCCTCTTTCGAAGAACTGCGTCCTTGCAGTTGCGATCTTTACTTTCGTTATAAGCTTTTAATTAAAGAGATAAAGCACGTAATAGCCTTTTAGCTTAAGGGTAAGCGAAGTAAAAGCGTCAGAGTAAATGAAGACCGGTTATTGCATCAGAGCAAAGGTTTTGATCAAGGTCGTTATGCTAGTCTATTTGATTCGTATCAAGCGGTATAGGATTATGATACTAGAAACTGTGATATGCATTGTAAGTCTTCTTTTGCATATTAATCAAGAGCTATATACGCTTTCCAATCTATTGACTTAATATCGGACAAGCTTTATTTCATCTACGGAATCCCATCTTAGTAGTACTTCGGTGAACCATCTGCATTATAGTTTGGAGCTAATTCGCTCCGATAGCTTAGTTGATCGATCGATCTCTACTCTCCCCCCCTATGAATAAATGTCGAAAGTATAATTTCGCAAGAGGATCTTACCAAGGCTTAAACCAATCAACTTATAAGGATTCAGCTTTGGAAAGTATCTTTGAGCCAGTATTTAGTCTATACAGTGGAGTTGACAGGGCTTTGAGCCATTAAGAAACCACCGCTCTATGATTTATGGGCCTAAACTGGGTCCGACATTTATTCATGGGGGGGGAGAGTAGCTGTTACTACGTACTACGTATTTGAGCAAATTTTATTATTTACTACGTATTTCGCAGGCATAATTGTTACGTAGTACATCCTCAGGGGCCAGGGGCTTTAAAGTGGAAACTCTACTTTTGAAGCACCTTTACTGTAAGGGTGTAACAATTACACCTGTAGCGTGGTAAATTTCCACTTTGAACCCCCTGGTTATCCTACCCTCAAGGGTATAACATGCAGTTTAAACTTTTAACCGAAAACCTGATGCTAGCCCGCTATCGTTAGCTGCGGGGATGCATTTCGATCTAGTGATTATCTAGCTTAATTGAGCGGCATCGCTGACTCAAAATCTAAGTACTACGTCCCAGGCGCAAGTACTATTACCCCTCGAGGCTCGAATAGGGAAACCAGGAGGTTTAAAGTGGAAACCGAACTTTTGAAGCACCCTCGGGGGGTAATACTTAGGCCTGTACCGTGGTAATACGAAGATAGTAGCAAAATCTTTACGTTAGCGAAAGGGCTATCGGAAAAACAATACCGTATGATAATAACCGCTACGTAATAACATAAAGCCGTCGGGAAAAGCGCTTTAACCGGCCTGCTTGAAAATGTATATCGTGCGGTATAAGATTATGATCGTAGAGAGGCCTGGATCTTGAAACTATAATATGCATTGCAAATCTGCTTTTGCATAATAGTTAAAAGCCATATACGTTTTACGAGCTATTCAATTAGTATCGGATAAGCTTTATTTAATCTAAGGAATGCCTTCTTACCTCGGTGAATCGTGTGCATAATAATTTAATAGTATAAGCTATTTCGAGTGATTTTAAAACCTGAGATTTCTTCAATCTCTTATTCGTTTTATTTAAGAAGAAGCTGAATGGGTGCTAAAAGCAATTGACTTGGAAAAGGATTGCTAATGTTGTGGAGGGAAGAGCTCCAGCATATGCCTGACTGCGAATCAAAAGATGTATAAAGATATAATCATAATGAAATCGAAGGTTAAAAGGAAGGGGAAAGGAGGACGTCCGAATAAAACTTGAATGTATTCTGTATATATATAAATATATATATGTATGATTGATGATGACTTAGAGAGGAACCAACCACTCGTTTATATACTGCCTTACACGTAATGCATCCACGTGTTAAGAGTATCTGATAATAGTACTAAATATATAGACAAAATAAATACAGGCCGCCAGATTTATTATAGCGATTCCTCTTTGAACTAATACGAATGACATCGGTATATCAATATCGATCCGAGGTAGTTAATAGTTGAGGGTGATGTAACAGGTTCAGGTATCTCAGGCACGGATAAGCATAAGAGACCTGATAAGCATAAGAGACCTGATCAGCATACCTCGCTGAGCTTGCACGCCTTTAAGGAACCTCCAACTTCGATAGAAACATTATTGAATAGCTAATGCACGTGATTCCTTCTAATCGTATAAAAGGAATCAGCTTCTTTAAACGTTGAGGAATGAA